AGAGCTCTCATCGGCTGCGTGACGAACTGCCTCCGTTGTAGAGCGATGTAGAGCGCGATTTTGTTGTAGAGTTTGTTGTAGAGGCTCTACAGCCAAACCGCCGGGAAGGCAGTGACTCAAAGAGGTCGAGTCGCACTAATGGGGTGTCTCCGAGCTTACTGGAGCTCTGATGGACGGCCCTGACTATCCCTGACACACAGAGAGTCACTCTGACGGCACACAACACCCTATAACTGCGTCATGACCAGCCTGCCATGCGTCGCCGGTGCCGCATGCGTCGCTGTGCTTCTTTAGCAGGCGGTGGACTGTCGGCTGCGAGGACGGTCGCATTTGCGCGAGGCGAGGCGAGCATTGCTGCGCGTTGCATGCGCCATGACTCGCGCCAGCGCGTGCGGGAGCTCCTGGCTGAGCGTTGAGTCCAAGCGAGTTGCGCTGGCCACGATCGCTACGCCGAGCCGAGCTGACGCGCCGAGGCGCCGGCCAGTCGCAGCCGCGAGGCATGCCACAGCAGCAGAGGCACCTGCCACCCATTGGGCGAGCAGACAGAAGGCCAGGGCAGCACTGGCAAGTGCAACGCGCCTCATGTCGGAGAGCGACCGTGCCTCGTTCGCCGCTTATGATGTAGAGTTTGTTGTAGAGATTTCACGTTGTAGAGCGCCTCTACATCGCTCTACAACGGAGGCAGTTCGTCACGCGGTGGATGTAGAGCTCTACAGCTCTACATTGCTCTACAGCGCTCCAGAGCGCTCTACATCTCTACAGCTCTACAGCGCTCTACACTCTACATCCTCTACACCCTCCCTCAGGCCCCCCCGCCCCCCAGCCTCGCCGCCGCCGACGCCACCTCGCCCCCCCTTGCGGGGCTCTGTGTGGACGGCGCCTCTCCTCCCCCCGCCAGCTCAGTCGCCCACCTGCCACGGCGTCCCGCCCGCCGCCGCCGGCGCGTACGGCTGGAAGGGCGGGTGGCCTAGATGAATAAACACGAGCTGCGGTCATCCCACCAGTGACGAGTCGGCCTCCCGATGTTTGACGCCGTCCGGGTCGTCCATCTCAGCATCCAGCCGCTCGCAGGCGGCGAGGCAGCGAAGCCACCGCTCGTTCACAGCGTAGTTTGACCACGCGCAAAGGACGCGCGGCGCCCGTCACACAAGTCAAGCGCTCCCCAGTGCGCGGGCGCTTTTGCCGGTCTAAAAATGGGCGCGCCGGGGCTGTTCGTGCTGGGCGCCGGCCTCGTCTGCCTGCAGGGCCTCACCACCATCTGCGGCACGACCCTGCAACGCCTTGCCAGGCTCGACCACGACGAAGCGGTCAAGAATGAGCCCGCGCCTGGCCCACTGCCCGTCTGGCGGCGGCAAAAGTTCGTGGCGGGGCTGCTGCTGTACATCCTCGCGCAGCCGCTGTCCGTGTTGAGCCTCTCGCTTCTCCCCGTCAGCGTGCACGGCCCCCTGCTTTGCGCCTCAATAATTGTCTCCTCTGCCGCCGTCAGCCGGTTCGTCGGCGAGCGCGTCCGGACCCAGGACTATGTCGCGCTGGGACTGGGGGTGCTCGGCGCGTGCGGCCTGCTCGTCTTCGGCCCGAAGCAGTCGGGCCACTCCGAGGCCGACCTTCAGCTCGGCCTGGACCTCCTCACCTTTTGGCGGCACAGCGGGATCGCCTGGTACATCCCGACCATTGCTGCCGTGCTCCTGGCGGCGCTGCCGCTGGCGCTGCTGCGGACGCGCGCCGCGCCGGTGGCGCACCCGCTGTGCTGCGCCCTGCTTGGCGGGACGGGCGATTGCCTAATGAAGGTGATCACCATGTTTGCTTCCCAGACGAGGGAGTTCTCCGACGCACACCGCGGCGAGTATGTGCTCATCATCGCAGCCTACGCCACGCTCGGCGTTTCCAACGTGGTGATGGTGTCGAAGGGTGCGCAGCGGTTCGATGGGCGGTACTTCATGCCCGCCGTAATGGTGCTCTTCACGCTGCAGATGCAGCTCTTCGGTCTGATCGCCTACCACGAGCTCGACTCAATGGGCGCCGGCCGGCTCGTCCTGTTTGCCCTCTTCTCAGCCTGCTGCGTGGCCTCTGTCTGGATCGGCGCACGCAACCCCGACACAAGGACGGGGCGCGCACCAACGCTGCTAAGTCCCTCCACGCGAGTGAGCGACGCAGTGGAGCAGGGCAACCCATACCCTGGGGGGCCGCCCCCCGGTCCCTTGCGCTTCCCGGTCGGCTAGGATGGCGGAGGTCGAGACTGTGCATGGCGCAAGCATGTCGGACCCGCGCTCCGGGGTCGCAGCCCGGGGCTGCCCACGGGAGCGAAGGAGGTCTCGTGCGTGAGTGGTGCCCTCTGCGCTCTGCCGTCTCGTGTGAGATGGCGTCTGGGCTCGCCGCCTCTGCGCGCTCTGGAGCGGTGGGGCGCGCCCGGGCGAGAGCTCGAGCGCTGGAATGGCCGCCGTCAACACGCCGGGTCTCTCTCTGTTCATTTTCAATAGAATCTGCCGTGTGTACCAGCCCGAGCCCCGACTACCAGTGCCGCATGAGTCCCGTGGGGACGCGATCTGAGCGGAAAGAATGATGTCTGTGCCGCCTGTTGCGGGCTGGAGCGCTGAACGTCGCTGAGCTCCGCTGCGGGCGGCGCGCCTGGCCCCCGCCGCGGACCGCGCACCACAGCGCCTCGCCTGTGTCGCGTTCGCGCCGCGCATCGAACGAAACGCAACTCGAGCCTCGCCCCCTTCCCGCCCGAGCCGTGCATGCTTGGGTGCCCCTCTCCTCCTCTCCGCTCACGCCTCACCCCCGCACCCGTGTGCCGGGGGAGTAGCCGCCCAAGCTGCTGCCGAGGTCCGAATTTGCGCCTTCGGCCCGCGGGGAGCCGCCATCCTCCTCCGCCATCAGAGGCGCGCAGCTCGACCCTCCGCCCTCCGCCGTGCCAGGCACCTGCGAGTAGCCGCCGCTCGTCGCGACAGCGCGGGGCACGAGCCGCGAGATCGTGTCTGCAAGGGGGCCTATTATTTAGTGGACTATGAATTAGCTATTAATTAGGGGCACGAGCCGCGAGATCGTGTCTGCAAGGGGGCCGCCGCTGTTCCGGCCGCCGCTGCCTGGCCTCCGGAGGGAGGGAGTGCGGTACGCCCCCCCGCGCCGCGAGTCGACGCAAGGCTCGCCTCCGTTGAGCGCGGTCGTCTCGTCGATCGACCCGTCGTTGAGTCTCAACTTCGACGAGATGAGACCCGCCGAAGGCCCGCGCGAGTCCGCCGCCTCCTCCGCCTCCTCCCACCCCGGGGAGCGAGGCAGCGACCCCAGCGACGCGCCCTGCGTCCGCGCCTTCGCCTCCACCCGCCTCCGCCTCCGCGCAGACAGCAGCACCACGAGCGCGTGCACCTAATTAATAGTTAATTAACGAACTAATATGAATTATTAATTAGGACAGCAGCACCACGAGCGCGTGCACCTAATTAATAGTTAATTAACGAATCAATATTAATTATTAATTAGGACAGCAGCACCACGAGCGCGTGCACCTAATTAATAGTTAGTCAACTAATTAATATGAATTATTAATTGGGACAGCAGCACCACGAGCGCGTGCACCGCCACGCCGGCACCGATGACACCGAGCATGGACCGGATCTGGTGCCCCGCCGCGTTGTGCCGTCGCGCGCCGCCCTTCTTGTGTCGCGCCGAATGCCCCCCCTCGCCAGCGGAACCCGGCTCCGGCACAAACGACTCCGCCGCGACGATCACGGCGTACGAGATCGAGATCGCGATCGGCACGACCGTGATGAGGACCGCCGTCGGTAGCCCGCCTGGTGTTTGGAAGGGCCATACTCTTGGTAATAATGCCATTAATTACTAAGAATCGGCTAGTAGTATAGAGCCCGCCCGGAATGCGGAAGGGCCGCGCGCGCAGCGACTCCGGCTGCTTCATCCTCAGCGCGACGAAGGACCACATGAAGAGGAGGATGGAAGGGACGGAGAGCAGCATCGAGAACTCGACGAGCCGCGTGTACGGCGCCCAAACCTAGTCCCACCCACCCCCCCACCACCAGGCGGTGAACTCACTGAGGGCGTGCGCGTGTGTGCGGTGGGGGCGTGTGTGCGGTGGGGGCGCGCGCGCGCGCGCGCGCGTGTGTGTGTGTGTGTGTGTGTGTGTGTGTGTGTGTGTGTGTGTGTGTGTGAGGGTGGTGGTGGGGTGTGTGTGGGGGGGGGGGGTTCGTGTGAGTGTGGTGGTGTGCGTGTGAGGGGGGAGGGCGCACAAGGGACGCGGCGACGGCGGCGTTGAAGAGGATGTACACGGGCGCGACGCCCGTCTCGCTCGCCGCCAGCAGCCACACCAACATCGCGTCGGCCCTCCTCCCGCTGCGGCGCCGCCTCTCGACGACAGCGTTCATCTCGCCGGTGAAGTGGGACGCCACCTGCGTGAACGACACAAGCCCGTGAACCAACGCAGCAGCGGTGAGGGCCTGCTGGTTGGACGATGAGCCACCAGAAAGGCGAGCGACCGCTCGGCGGTCAGGGCGGCGGCATTGTACAAGCCTAATGAACGAAATCCTCGTGACTGTTTAGGGAATCAGAGCGGGCAGGGCGGCGGCACGGTGCACGCCTAAATGAGATCACGCGAGATCACGCGAGATTTCACGAGGTCACAGGGCGGCGGCACAGTGCAGGCCGATCAGGCACACGTTTGCGCCCAGCTGGAACCCGTAGTCCAGCCACCGGCCCGCCAGCCGGCGCGCGAGCACGTTGAAGTAGCCGGCCTACGAGATTACACGAGATTACGCGAGATTACGCGAGATTACGCGGCACGTTGAAGTAGCCGGCCTACCGTGCTGAAGACGCCCGCCTCGGGGCGGGGAGATATGGGGAGATATCGGGAGATATGGGGAGATATGGGGAGATATGGGCAGCCTACCGGGCTGAAGACACCCGCCTCGGGGCGGGGAGGCGGTGCTTTGCAGAGCCATCGTAGCGCCGTGTGAGTGCATATCTCCCCATATCTCCCCATATCTCCCCATATCTCCCCGCCCCGAGGCTTTGCACAGCCATCGTAGCGCCGTGTGGGTGCAGTGGCGGTGCGGAGACAGTGCGTGTCGTGCTGTCATTCGACTGTCTCCGGCGGTATGTCTAAGTGAGTGTGTGTGCCGGGGGCAGGCATCTCAGTGCGAGGTGGTACGGAGACAAGTACGTACAGCCGGAGACCGTCGAACGGCAGCGTGGCACGTGTGTGCTCTCCAGCGCTGGTTGGACGAGAGTGCGCGAGCCGCGTCTAGGTTCGCCGGCTGAGTGACTGTCCTCTCGAGCGCTGGTTGGAGTACACGAATACGTGTCCTTCCGCTTCTACGGCTCGAGATATGGGGAGGTGCGGGGAGATGTGGGGGAGATCCGCTTCTAGGTTCGCAAGCCGAGTAGTGCGCAGGCACGTCGTCGAGGGAGAGGGCGACGGCGAGGGGCAGCGTGTTCAGCAGCAGCACGGCGGGGAAGAGGATGCCTAGTTAATGCGTACTTAATTATGAACTAGTCATTCGGTGTTTAGCAGCAACACGGCGGGGAAGAGGACGCCTAATTAACAATTACTTAATTATGAACATTCATTCGGTGTTGAGCAGCAGCACGGCGGGGAAGAGGATGCCGATCGAGATGAGGAAGGTGCGGCGCGGCTGCTCGAGCTCGCCGGCGAGCGTGCCTATCTCCCCGCATCTCCCCGCATCTCTCACCGCACCTCGCGGTCTCTCTAGCTCGCCGGGCGAGCGCGGCGCCGAGCGAGAAGAAGCCGCAGTACAGCCAGAGGATCCACGAGACAAGCAGCGAAGAGTCGAGCTCGCCTAATTAATAGTAGCTACTAACTGGTAGTCTCGATTAGTCAATTCTCAAGTGGAGCGAAGAGTCGAGCTCGCCTGGTTAATGGTTATTACTTCGGTCATGCTCAGGCAATCAGTCAGTAATCATGAATCGGCAGCGGCGAGTCGAGCTCGCCTAATTAACAGCTAGTAGCGAATTAAACTCATTCGCAATCTCGATCATTCATTCTCAATTGGCAGCGGCGAGTCGAGCTCGCCTGGTTAATGATTATTGACTAGGTCATGCTAAGATAATCATGGTAATCATTAATTGGGCGACGAATCGAAGCTCGCCGTGTGCGACGAGCGTCCTCTCCGGCTCGAGCCTAATTAACAGCCAATGAATAGCTAATTAATACTTAATAAATACAAGGCAGCGTCCTCTCCGGCTCGAGCCTAATTAACAGCCAATGAATAGCTAATTAATACTTGAGAAATACAAGGCAGCGTCCTCTCCGGCTCGAGCCTAATTAACAGCCAATGAATAGCTAACTAATACTTAAGAAATACAAGGCAGCGTCCTCTCCGGCTCGAGCCTGATTAACAGCCAATGAATAGCTAACTAATACTTAAGAAATACAAGGCAGCGTCCTCTCCGGCTCGAGCCTGGGCATGCCGATTGCCACAAAGAGCACCGTCGGAGCGAGCGAGACGGCCGCCAGCAGGGTGTTAAACTTGACCTGCTCAGCAGTCCATTAACGAATATTCCGTGAGGGAGACGGCCGCCACAGCAGGGTGGTGAACTCGACCTAATTAATAACTCATGAGCAAATAATCCATTAGCGAGACGGCCGCCACAGCAGGGTGAATTGAGCTCGACCATCATGTCTGTGCCGAGCAGGTTGATGCCAGTGACCATCCCGACCAGAGCGGTGGAGAGGATGCCCCGCCGGAACTCGCTCATCGGGACCTAATTCATTCTTCTCTCGCTGACGGGCAGAGATGGTTGACTAGTCAGGCCGGAACTCGATTGTCGGACCATCGTGTCGACGTACTGCGCGACGAGGACGGGGTAGATAGCCGCGTCCACCACGTAGATGACCCACACCCAGTAGGCGTGGTGAGAGCCGACCACCCGACCGCACGCCTGGGGTAAGGGTTAGGGTTAGGGTTAGGGTTAGGGTTAGGGTTGGGGTTAGGGTAAGGGTTAGGGTTAGGGTTAGGGTTGGGGATTGGGTTAGGGTTAGGGTTGGGGATAGGGATAGGGTTAGGGTTGGGGTTAGGGTTGGGGTTAGGGTTAGGGTTAGGGTTAGGGTTAGGGTTAGACCCAGTAGGCGTGGTGAGAGCCGACCACCACTCCCGCACGCCTGCTGCACCCACGCCACGTAGCCCACTACCAATTAGCTTCCAATTCACTGTGAATGCGCACGCCTGCTGCACCCACGCCACGTAGCCCCCCATTAATTAGCCACTAATAATTGTTAATTCGCACGCCTGCTGCACCCACACCACGTATCCCCCGTCCTCCGGGAAGGCGGTGGAGAGCTCGGCGACCTGAGTAATAGGTAATCAGTTAAGGGCCACCTAATTAATAGTTAGTTAATAGAAGGCGGTGGAGAGCTCGGCGACCTACGACGCGCACGCAGGGGCTGCGCTCACCACCGCCCGCGCCTCGCGACACACACACACACACAAGGGCGAGGTGGACGCGGGGACAGCATGTGGATTGCATCAGGGAGTGTGATCCGCATCTGTGCGCTCGGACGATGAGCGCGATGGGGAGGGAGTAGACGAAGGGCACGACGCCGAGCATGATGAAGACGTAGAGCGGCGGGCCCGCCATCAGCATCGCCTCGTTGCCGTAAATGCCTGAGCGGTGGCGGTGTGGCGGTGGCGGTGGCAAGAGCGGCGCCGACGCCGCGACGCACACAGCAGCATTGAAGGCGCGGCGCCGTGCAGCCACGCTAAGCGCTGGCGCGGACACGCATTGCGGGGGCGCGGTGGGTGCTCACCGCCGTGCACCCAGAAGAAGCCGACGACCACCATGCCCCAGACGCCAATCTTTTTACCGGGCCGCGTGCCGCCGCCACTGCCCATGCCCATCGCGCCACGTTCACGACTCCTGAGCAGCTCGAGCAGCACCTCGAGGTGGAGAGAGAGAGAGAGAGAGGGGCAGAGGAGCCCACGCAGCGGCGCCCTCGCAGCGTCCACAGAGAGTTTGCTGCAAGAAAAATCCTGGAAAAGAGGGGAGGCACGGTCGACAGCCCGATCCATCGACTACACTCATTTTCTGGTGCTTAACCCCGTGCAACAGCGGTCCGGCAGGCTGCCCCCAAGGCACCCCGGGCCGCTGCGGGTTTGGGAGTTATGCTTAGGCACAGCTTCGGCGATGGCGGCCCTTCTGTCTGCCCCTCGCCACCCACCCAGACATCGTCATCACGCAGCCAACGAAGATGCAAGAACCCCAAGTGCACCGATCCCAATCATCTGGCGGCCCGGTGCGCGGTGGCCCGCTGGCTGGCTGGGCTGGGTGGGTGGGTGCGCTTCTTAGCTCCCCGGCCCTGGATGTGCGGCTACTGACTGCACTCCAAGTGCACCCGGTGACGCAGGGGCAGCTATTTCGGCCCAGGGCGCCTCTAAGCCTCTCTCTTCCACCTTCCGGGACGATCTCACGGTCTCCGTTTGGGAGAGAGAGAGATGTGTGTCCGGGCGATGGTTGCGGCGCGCTCGACCATCTGGTCGGTCGTGTAGCGCGGCGAGCCGCTCGGCCGGCAGGTGACGAGGATCGTCGACGCGACGACGAAGATGGCACCTCGGGCGCCGTCTTCGGTGCCGGGCGCGTTGGGGTTGCCGCCGAAGGCCTTCATCCCGAACTCGAGCACTGAGCGGATCTTTGCACGGTACTCCTTGTTGTCGGGGAAGTCCTGGCTCTGCAGGTGGAGACGCTTGAGGCACTCGATCGAGACGCTGTCGCAGATGGAGAGATCGTAGTCTGCGGCGGGCGTGGTGTTGAGATTGATCGTGTCGGCCACCCCCGAGGGGGAGTTCCAAGCGAGCGAGACGCCGGTGGCGTTGCGGAGGGCGGCAACAGCAGCAGCAGAGCACGCAGCGGCGCCCGGGACGGCGGGCGCCCACGCGAGCCGCCGGGCGCGAGTGGCAGCCGAGACGCCACGGTTGCCAGCGTGGGTCAGGTTGGCGCCCGGTGTGCCCGGCGCCGCGTGCTGCAGTGCCTTGGCGATGGCGTCGGTGCACTCGGCCTTCGGCGTGATCTTCTCCTTGTGGGCTTTGTGCAGCGGGTCGTTGCGGGACGAGAGGTGGTTGAAGAACATGCTCGTCCCGTTGCCACCCGAGCCATCCGGAAGTTTGTTGGGGATGAGGCAGCAAATCTGAGCGCAGCACCCGCACTTGGTGAGCGGTTTGTTTTTTTGTGTGTTGGAGCCTATAATATATATATATGTCACCTCGCGCGCCGCGCATCGATGGACAATGCGCCCTTCACCTTCTCCATTGACACGCCACCGTCGCTGCCTGTTCCTCGCCTGCTACGGCCGGCGCCGCCGCTGCCACCGCCGCTGCTGCCGCCGCCGCCGCTGCCTCCGCCAATGCCTGCGCACGCTCCGCCTCCATCGGCAATGCCAGCCACTGCACCGCCGCCTGATGCGACGCCGTCTCCGACGCCACAGCTGCCGCCGCTGCCACCGCCCTCCGAGGCCGCGCCCCCGCCGTGGCGACCGGCGCGAGAGCCACCGCCAGCAATGCGGCCTGAGCCGTCCCCGCCGCCTGTGCCTTCCGAAGCCGCATTGCCACCGCCCTGGCGTCCGATGCGAGTGGCGGTCGAGCCGTCCCCTTCGCCGCCCGACCCACCGCTGCAACTACCGCCGCCGCCGCAGCCGCCGCCGCCGCTGCCGCCGCCACCGCCGCCGCCGCCACCGCCGCCGCCGCCGCAGCGGTTGCCACAGCCTGCATTGCCGCCCCTGCTCAATCCTCCGCCGCGCTCGCTCCCGCCTCTGGTCACGAGTGGTGCCCTGTTGGCCGGGGTCGCGCTGCTTGGCTGCTGCTGTGCGTGGCGGAGAGTTAGACCCTGCGCCGGCAACTCCAAAAAGTCGAAGGAGATGAACGCCGCAGCCGCCCGTGCAGCAACCAACGCATTTGACCTCGAGCTGAACGACGCGGCTCTGGCGGTGAGCCCTTGTGGATATGTATCGACACCCTGCCTCGACACGTATTCGGCCGGGAACGCCATGGGCTTTGCCTAGACGCCGCTGCGCCACCCCTACACGCCCAGTGCGACGGGCGTTGTCGCGGGAGCTTCTCCTCTGACACCTCCCCTCCTTCCCTACGACTAGGCTGCGGGCCTGGACGAGCAGTACGCGGTTCTCCCCGACCAGGCAAACGGCGGAGGCTGGCGGACCGTGTCCGAGGGGGACGGGTCCGCGTTTGACGCTGCTGCTTTTGAAGGGCCGGTACGGCTATGACGATATGAGGGCGGGCGTGGGCCCGGCCGACTGATGACCGTGTGCTCCGTGTGTGTGGCAACTGGCATACGCTTTATTTATGAACTTTCAGGTCTATTCTTTCGTACTTCGATGCTAACCACGAGACCAGGGGGCTGACATGTCACCGCCAGCAGTAACGCCCGCTGGACGTAGGGGGGCTAGAGCTGCGTAAAAAAAGATTGTTTCGTGCAAGCGGCCGGCCGGGTCCGCACACGCGGCGCTCAGTGTTCGCGCGGCGCGGCGCGCTTCAACTAGCGTGCGCACATAACTCCCGGCTCCTCGCTCGTCTACGCCTCCCAGTGTCCCATGGCCATGCGCTGTGGCGATGCCGGCGACTGCGATGCGCCACGAAAGTCCGCCGCGTCCGAAACTCCGAAAGCCTCCGGCGGAGCGGCGAGGGGCCGGCTCCCCCGCCCCCGTCCGAGAGGGCGGCCACGCCGCAACAGTGCTGGGCGACCCTCCCCTGCATAACCCCGCCGGCCGCTTGCACGAAAAAATTTTTTTTTAACGGAGCGGGGGGTCATCAGAAGCTGGGCGGGTAGCTATAAGCTGTTCCAGCCGGGGGGCGGAACATTTACAGACACGGCCCTCATCTTCGTCCCCCC